ATCAGGATAGGTCTCCCCAGACCGACCCACTGGCTGTGAACATTCTAAACTAACACGAGTCTCATTAAGTGTCCAGTTTAAGGGTATTTCACAAAAACATACCAAGGGAACATGAATCAAATATGTACTTTTATTCATTTACAATAAACTCATAGTGTACATCATTCTGATTGAAGCTAAGGGCATACAAAACTGTCTAACAACTCCCACTTGCACTTAGGTCCAATCAGGTACAAGCTGGAGTCCCATGCTTTTCACGTGTTTCTCAAGCACTTTTTGTGATAGTGGCTTTGTCAATGGGTTTGCTACATTTTCCGCTGACGCTACTTTCTGAATCAAGACGTCCCCTGGGTAGGTACTCCGATGCTCAAGTTAGTAGGATATAGAAATATGTAGCTGGGACAAGCAAGTTGAAATAGTATTGGTTCGAGCTGAAGAGATAATGTGAAGAGGTGTTCAAAGAGTGTTCTTCCAAAAGTCCCTTACCTTGAGCGGGAAATACCTATTTATAATTGGGTGTCTTTGTCCCATATGGATAGGGCTTCTGGGGTTGTCAAGATGAGGGCGCCTGCCAAGGTCTTCGGGGGGTTTCCTCTTTTTTGACGAAATCCGCTTCCTTGTCCATATAAAACATTCCTTAATTGTGCTCTTCCGCTATGTTTGGCATCAACATGGCTAGAGAGAGGAGGACGCTGTAGTGATTGCTATGCGTCATCCTTGGTTATCTCAACCATCATCCGAATAGCTGGATTCCTTGCTTTCGTGGTAAATGTAGAGTTCATGCAATTATGCTGAGAGAGAGCCAATCCCATCCCCACAAAGTTGGTCAATAATAAGAAAAAGTTGGATTCCGGTCTAAAAATTAGTATTTGTACGGCAACGAAACACAACCGAACCAAATTTACATTTACATCATTGTGTATGCTTATTTTACCAAACGAAAGAAAAAGCAAATTTGTATGCATGGAATTGCAAAAACTGATTACCGAGCCAAAAAAGATAAAAAGAGATGCAAAAACTGAATAATATTTTTTGTCGCAAAAGAGGGAGAAGGGACGTGGCATCCTCCGGTAAATGAACGTTACGACAGGCAACAGACGATGGTCCATTGATCATCCATGTCCGAATCCGAAACGGAGACGAGGACGAGGAGGATGCGATGCATCTCATGTCGGGAGGAGTATCGGGCATGCGACGCCGGCACCTGCAAGGAGTGCTACGAGGAGGCCAGCGAGACGGAGGAGGAGCTTAAGCGCGAGATCGAAGACCTCAAAGCCAAGGTTGCGTTTCTTAGGTTTTTGTCCCCAGTCGATGACCAGTACTCCTCTTGCTTCACTGATGTCGTTCTCGTCGCATCATCAGACGATGACTGCGGCGAAGCCGCTGTCCGAGCCCACAAGGCCGTTCTTGTAAGTACCCTAACCTAAACCTCCGAGAAATCAGAAAACTGTCTCCTTTGATGCGTGTAGTTTGGTTTCATCAATGTATCAAAATAAACTAAAGAAATGATTGATTGATTCCAATACGTTTGATCTTTGACCCCATTCAGTGTTTTAAAGCAAACCCTTTCGGCTCTGTTGATAGATGACACCCTTTGCGGTTTTATTAACAATATTCTATTACTTCCTTGCTTTGATTAAAACATTTTTCATCTTTGGTCCAAAACAATGATTTAAGCAAACCTTTGTGCTTGTTTGGTCAACTGATTTTACCCACAGAATTTGTACTTCATTTTTCCTACTGGCTGTTTCTTGTATGTAACCTGACATGATGGCATCCTCCCACTAAAAATGGAAGGGTTGACTATTAGTATAAATGAACAACTAATTATTTTTATCCCCTAGGAGTTGAAGAACTTCATGTTTCTATTGGTTAGTTGTTTTACCAATGCCCAACAGTTATTTTGCTCCTGCCAATTGGATTTTTCACATTCCTTTACAAACTGAAATACCTATGCCAAGGTTCTCACTTCACGGTTCGATGTTTTCTGCATTTCAGTTTTAGCATTTTATTCAATTTAGATTTTTGTGAGCTTGTGTATCTGGTACTTAAGAAGTTTAATTAATTATGTCAATCAAGACACTACACATTCCTCATTTATTGACTAAACTAATATAGAGAACTAGTATGCTAATCAAGCTGTTTAGTGAGCAAGTGAAAACCACCTAAAAAATCTTCCATGTGGTAGCTTACTTTGGGGCCAAAAAGGTCTCTCAACCTTTACTTCATGGAAATAATGTTGATCCATAACTCCTTGCTACATGTTCCTATATGCCCTTTTCGATGGGCATCTTTTAAATGTAAATTTTGAAAGTTTAACAACTATTATCAATTGTAAAAAAGTTCCAATACAAAGTTGGGTATAGGACTGATGTGTAATGTGGACTTAAGAAGAAGACATGGCTGATCCAGAGTCTCGCTCTGATCAATGGTCCAGATTAACCATAGGATTGTACTGCAAGTTACAAATAGGTCAGGACCGTCAGGTTGTCTAAGCAAGTATCTTGGTATATAGAGGAACACAGATGACATGGCAAGAACAAAATTAAATAAGGTATTGGGGAATTAACTTGTTTAGGGTTCAGGATGACACCCACTTTCTCTTAACCCCCCCCCCCCCCCCCAAAGAGGGGTAGAAGGTCTTTTTATTTTCCTTTAGTCACATAATAGAGTGAATTTTCACAAAATTATACATAGTTTTCAAGGACTACCTAGATACTGCCTAGGTGAGAAGGCACCCTTGAAACATCCTATCATATATTATATACAGCACATATGGTTTGTTTTAAGGCTTCACTATTAAAATATAAAAGATCAAAGGATTTGGACTTTTGACAAGAGAGAAATAAAGAAGAGAAGGATAGAAGAAGTTTTATTTTTCTACAATTACTCTCTCACACACATTAAATAGAATAGGGGGATTCATCCCTTGTCTTTTTTCCTTATTGTTATTCTCTTGAAATTATCTCCTTATTTAGTTGCTAATAATATTTTGAATAGCAATTTTTCTATTAAACACTAACTTATATTATAATATTATGACTGGAATATTGAAATAATAGATTTAAATGCTATTTTCTTTTAGATAAGATAATTTATAATGTATTTAGATGAAATTCAGTGTATAGTAAAGAGTGTTTGTGTTTTTCCCATTCATATGCATGCTGTTAAAAGTTAAATTCTATTGCCCAGATGATGCTTAGGTGCTAGACAAGGCACCTAGGCAACTCATCGCTCCTTGTTGCCTAGAGTCACTTAGATGCCAACCATGCAAAATAGTAGTTGCATAGGCACTGATAAGTTGAGCCTTTGCATGAAAGCCATAATGATCAGGAGCCACCTAACTGCCTTGGTTACCTAGTTTTAAGTTAGGTAGCCAAAGTTATTTGTATATTCACATGGAAGGTGCAGTTCTACTTTTTTTTTTCAATTTATTGGGATTAGGCGATGCCTAGATAAGCAACAGAAAATTGTAGGTTTATTAGAAACAGACAACTTTATACATTCCTTTAGATAGAAATGTAGGAGACAAGAATAAAATACTTCTGATCTACTCCAAATCAAAAGACCCAAATGGAGCTTATCCCTACATTGGTGTGTTCTTTATAATGCTAATGAAAAAACTTGCTTCCACTTATTAATCTTCCCCTTGCTTCCCAAATGGAGCTTATCTCCACATTGGACTCCCCCACCCAATGTGCAAAGCCTGTTTACCTCTGCTTTCTTTTTGTGGCCTAAGAAGAGAGGTTGAGTGATGTGAAGATGCGTAAGAGCTGCAGTGAACTGGACTATTTGGGAAGAAATTCCAGAATTTTCTCTAAAACGGAAAGAAACAATGAAGGAATTATTGTGACCATTCTGATTAGAGTGGTTCATTGGGTAAAACCTACATGGACTCCACCAGATAATGATTTTATCAAGTTAAATGTTGATGGGAGTAATGCAATCCAGGTCCTGGGATTGGTGGTGTGCTTAGGAATAAGGATGGAAAGGTTATTGGGTCATTCTCAGGTCCAATTGATGTGGGAGACTCATTAAGAGCTGAGGTTCTGGCTGTCTTGGAAGGGGTGCAAAAGGCAAAGGATATGAGTGTGAGCAAACTGAATATAGAATGTGATTGAAAGCTGGTAGTGGAGTGGTTGGAAAAGGGACGAAGTGGATTCTGGATCTTCAATGGTGAGATGAAGAAATTCAAATGGCTGACACAAAATATGGAAGTGAAATTCAGCTGGGTTAAAAGGACTACTAATGCTTTTGCTGATGCTCGAGCGAAACAAGGGGTGGGAAGAAATCAAATGTTTGAGCAGAATTGTAACCTGTACTATAAAATTAAGGGTTAAATACTTAAATATACCCTATAACTTTACTAAACTACTTAAATATGCCCTGTACTTTCTAAAACTACCATACTTTGTTAATGCATTCAGCTGTTAAGATTAACGAAAAAAGTTACAGGACAAACATGCCCTTGACTGTTCTTTGAATTTTCAAAACATGGTCTTTAAAAACAGGAACTCGATGACTACTGAAGGCTTTGGAAACTTGAAGATTTCTATCTTATGATGTTGAACAGGAAAATTATTGGAAAGATCACCCAGGAGAAGCAGTGCCAGCGTCTCTCATGAAATCAAAGTTCTATTACGGGCCTTGGAAAGCACTGAGAGTGGGTGGGTCTTCTTCTGCCCAACCAGAAAATCAGACCCATTCCATTGGGATATCACTACTGGTTTTTTATCACTTTTTATGCCAATGGGAACCTCATTGGCATATAATATCTCTTCATCTGATCTACTCAAAACTCTAAGTATCGCTACTGAGAGTGGATCTTCTTCTGCCCAACCAGAAAATCAGACCCATTCCGTCAGGATAGCACTACTGGTTTTTTGTCACTTCATATGCCAATGGGAACCTCATTGGCATATAATATCTCTTCATTTGATCTACTCAAAACTCTTAAGTATCACTGACCTGGTTAATAATTTAGCATGTCCTGAAAATGTCTAAGTGGATCGGCCATCGTATGGAACCTGCCATTATACTAAATGGAAGCACTGGAATTTCTGAAGATCAAGTGCTTTGTAATCAGAGGAGCTTCTATGCTTTTGGGTAGGCAGTAACAAAGATCTGACACCTTCGATCTGGAAAAGAAACAATAAATTAAATAATGAAATTAAAGAATAAACAAGTAAAAAGGGTAAAACGATGATGGTCCCTTCCATCTTAGCAGGGGTTTTATAAAGGAAACAAAAAACTAATCTATCTTTGGGAAACAAAATATCTATTTGAAATTTTCATTGCCATTTTTCGTTGGCTAGTAAGAGAGAGAGAGAGAGAGAGAGGAGCTACTGCCTCCTCCCTGAATTCATTCAGTCCTGAGATTGAAGAGGAGAAAATATGAGGGTAAAAATGGGATTATGAAATGGTTAATGGCTATGTTCAAACGGTATTATGCATTTTCTTAACAGATGGCCTATTTGTAGTTTTTGAAACTACAAGGTACATTTAGGTAGTTTCCTGAACACATAGGGTATGTATAAGGAATTATCCCTAAAATTAATTCTGGTGAGGAGAGGTAAGAAAGGTTACCTCTCCTCTGCTATATAATTCTTCTTTAGTTTTAATGAAATCCTATTATTGATAAAAAAAAAGAAATGTAGTCGACAAGTGCTACAGTGTCTTGCTGATCAAAATGTGTTTTTTACAATTTTCCTCCTACCCCTGGTACAACCCACAAAAGCTTTTCCCTTATGACCCTTGTCTTAGCTAGAAAATCTGCCATACTTTTTGCTGCTCTAGATATCTAGGTGATGTTTAGATATTTGATCAAGCTTCTATTTGGAGGGTGAATTTCACTATAGGTAAGAGTTGAAAAACAGTCCACTTGATGTATGGAACTGTTTGAGATTAGATGCAAACCAGAAAATRAACAARCAAGAGARGAAGAGAAGAGAGAGCTGGCGGCAATGAGTGTTAGAGAGTAAGAGGTTCGAACATAACCCCTCTCTAACACTCTAACATCTTATTAAGAAGTTAATCTTTGACAAATTACAGAGGGGCCCTTGAGTGGGCAGGAAAATACAAAAAATGGAACATTACAGAGTATGGGCCCAGAATAAGGCCCATAATGAAATGACAGTCTATGGGCCATTCGGCCCATCTCCTCTATAGTAAGGTAGTAACTTGTGGTGTTTTCTGCCTCTACCATCTTTTGTGAAGCTGGAGGAAAAAAGAAACAGAAGGGTGTCAAACAAATGTGAAGCAGTGTTTGGAATAGATGGATATTAATATAATAGTCATCCATGTAGAGATTCAATTGGGAATCTTATATTAGTTGTCTCTGTTTATTTCTCCTTCTATACGACAGATCTTTTTTTTTTTTTATCAGTAATCAAATTAAATTTCATTACTTAGAGAAAAAAGATGATACAGAAACATGGGCAGCCTCGGCTACCAACAATAGAATACATAGACAAATTGATGATCAGTCTCACAATTGAGCCCAGAAGCACTCTGCTCTATTTACCCCTTGCTTTGCTAGATGGTCAGCTAAGCCATTTGCTGACCTAGGAGCCCATTGAAATATCAGCTGCATATCCCTTGAGAACCTCTTGAAATTTTTGAATTTGTTTCTGAAAAACCAAGGAATCTTCTCATTCTGCTTTAATCAACTTATTACTATTTTGGAGTCGCCTTCAACTATTAGCTTCCGAAACACCATTTCCAAAGATTTCTGCATCCCATAAAGTACTGCCTTCAATTCTGCTGTTACAGAGTCACACACTCCAATGGGACTTGTGTGTACATTCCCCAAATCACTCCAATTCCAGAGGGCCCCGGGTTCCCAAAACTACTTCCATCGAAATTTAATTTCAGGAAACCTACCTCTTCCCAGTCCTTTAGTGTCTTCCACTTAGCTGAAGTTGAGGCTGCAATTGTTCTCCAGTTCCTTAATATATCAATAGAAAAATTTGAGAACAACTCCAATGTCTTTATCTAGAAGGCCACTTTTGCCATAATCCCTTCAATTAGTGCTTCCTTGCTTCTTTTTTTCCTCAAATATACGCTTATTTGTTTCCTCCCATAGGGTCCATATTATTGCTGCTCTTGTGCACCTCCACATCAGTCTTCCCCTCCTTTTTGGCCAGCTGAAAGTGGATCTATCAAACAACCTGTCCAATCTGTCCAGAGTATTCCACTTGCACCCAAAAAGAGAAAAGAACCAATCTGAAATACCACAAGCAAATGGACAGGAAATGAACAAGTGAAGAGCAGATTCACCATTGGATTCACACAAGCAGCACCAATTTGGGGAGAGGCACCATCCAGGTCTCTTCCTCTGTAAAATATCACAAGTGTTGATTGCACCATGGAAGACCTCCCAACAAAAAGCACTCACTTTGAGGGGAATCGGATGACACCAGATCTCTGACTGGAAAGGGAGTAATTGGTTGAGAAGGCACAGACAACAACTTGAAAAAAGAAGCACAACTGAAAACCCCAGAAGGATGTAGAGTCCAAATCCTATCATCTTGTTTACTTAGATCTGGGAAAACCCTTCCAATCTGAGAACAACTCCAATATAAGATTTCTATTTTCTATTACTGCACAATGAACATGTGTATGATTCATTGTGCACTAATAGAAAATAGGAATCTTATATTGCTATTTTTGGGGTACAAATATACAAGGTGTACACAAAGAAAAAGAGTCTGGTGACACCGTGACAGTGGTCATCACTTGGGGCTGCTTGGAAGTTGTACACACATTCTTATTTTTCTTGATCAATGAAATTACAAGTTACCAATCAAAAAAACTATATGCTTAAGATTGCTCTTATAACGTTTTTCTCCTCTTGCTTATTTTCTTAGTATTGTTCTTCCACATTTAGTCTTAAAGAGAAAATAAGTGTCATTGACCTCAATTTATTATTTTACTTGTTGGATTTTAGAAAATATGCATAAATTCCAACAAGAGAGGATTTTTTTTTTATTCTCTCTCTCTCTCTCTCTTTGATAGATAGCATGATAACATTTCATTAATATGGACAGATATTACAAAGAGGAGCCACAAGAGGGAGGTAAAAAAAACCTCACCTCAAAACAATTATTACAATTGAGCCCAATACAAATGTCCCCTAGAATTAATAGCTTGGTTATTGTAAGATAACTGTAGATTTAGCAAAATTTATGACATGATTGTCTACATATGATTGATTATACATGGGTGCTTAACTACTAACCTCCATGCTTTTCTAGTTAACAAAAAACACTCGTTTGTTCTTTCTTTCTTACTTGCCTTATTCTTTAATTATTTTATTTATAATCAGGTAAGCAGATCTCCAGTGTTTAAAGCAATGCTGGAAAATGAGATGGAGGAGAGAAGGAGTGGGACCATAAAGATCAGTGATGTGTCTTATGATGTCCTTCGTTCCTTTGTCCATTACCTGTACACTGCAGAAGCATTACTTGATGAGCAAATGGCCTATGACCTCTTGGTATTGGCAGAGAAATACCAGGTGAAGCATCTTAAAGGCTTTTGTGAGAAGTTCATAACCTCCAAATTGAACTGGAACAGTGCTGTTATGAGCTATGCCTTCGCTCACCAGCACAATGCCAAGCACCTGCTTGAGACATCTCTTTCCTTGATCATTGACAACATGGAAAAGCTAACAAAACGGGAGGAGTACAAGGAGCTTGTGGAGAAGGATCCTCGCCTTGTTGTGGAAATCTATGAAGCCTATCTTGCCAAGCAGGTCAATACGGCTGCCCCCAAGGATTCATCCTTACTGTTATAAGCAAGTGTAGTCACACTGTTCAAAAATGATATAGAGTAATATTGTGTCCACTAGTGGAAAACCATGAATGCTTTCTCACCAAACAAACCAAGACTGCTGCCAAAAAGATTCACCCATGCAGCAGTTGGCAAGAATTGCCATGTGGTTCAGGAGTCTTGCTAATGGTTTGTTTGTGTGTTGCACTCTTCTCAGAAAGTAATATGATACATCAAGAATTTAAGACACATTCAGGTATTCCTTTTTGAAGGTCTTTCATTTGTTTTGTGAATTGTGAGAAACAATCAGATATTGATTTCTTTCATCATATTATGGTCATTGTGTAATGTCCTGTTGGTGATTGTAACTGGCATTTCTAACTAAGAAAATTCTAAATGCACGTTTAGGCAAAGATTGATACTTGTTGATCTTGGTTTTGAAGAATTGCCTACAGAAAAATGTAGAAGGGGCCATTTCTTGGTTTAATGGTAAAATCTCGAGTGGGCAAGTGTGCAAAGGCAGGTTTAAGTCTGAGAGTGGCCACTTGGTGCAAAAAAATGTGAAAAGGTTAAGACCATATCCACTCTACTACCAAGACCCCGATAACTGGGACTAACATTGGATAATGGCCTTTTACCTACAAAGAAATGTAAAATCATGTCTTGCAGCTTCTGACAGTCAATGCCAGGGGCAGAGATTGCACTCTTTAAGTGTACAGTGGAGGTCTGATGATGTAGTAGTTGGACGCTTGAACTGTTTTAGTAACCCCTGTTCTATGTTCAATATTGTAAAGGTTCAGTTATAAGAATCTGAAAGATGTATAATCCTGCTTTGTCATTCCGTTCTGTTTAGCGTCAAAGTCCATCACTTCTTGGGAACGCCCTAGCACCAGCAGTTCAGCACTAGAAGACAACTCGGTATCCATGACATAAGAGTTTGGCAAAATATTTATGCCAACTGTGACACAACCCATCCAGGCTTGAAATTGATAGTATAAGACAAACTCACAGAGTTAACTGAACAACACGGAAATGTAATCAGGAATTCAAGCAGCTCTACTATTTGGATGCAAGGTTCAAAGTATCGACACGTATTGGCCCATATGTATTGTTCCGGGACCCCTCCGATATGCCTTTATAGTGAGTGTATCGGGGGTCTGATTGGTTCAGGGGGTGGAGGAGCCCTAAATCAGCCCCCCTGAACCGGTTTCGAAAAAAAATAAAAAAAGTAAAAAACAAGGGTATCGATTCACCTGATACACCCCTACTGGTGTATTGGGCGTATATTTTGAACCTTGTTTCAATGTAAATATATAATTATACTGTGTATAGGTCTGAACCTGTGAAAAGGTTGTAACCAATTGTTCTCCCTCTCTATCTTTTAATCACAAGCTCAACTATCAGCTAGTTACCTTTTCATTCCAGCTCCAGCATACCAATGGTAGGACTGCAAGAATTAGTAGGGGTGGCAATTTTTCATCAACCCGTTTGGATCCACCCAACCCATCCATTTACTTGGCGGATTGGAAATGGGTTGATCACCCATTGGGTCAATTTAAATGGAATGGATCAGTTAGGTTGTGGATAACCATAAATGGGGCAGGGCAGGATGGTTCAGCTTGGACCTGGTCCGGTCTGACCCAAAATCCGCCTAGCTTGCCTTGACTCGAATTGGATCATCTGGGCCGATTCATATCTATACAACCCCACCCAAGTCCAGACCGGTCTAATTTTACTTCCATTGACCCACTTTGGGCCAATCTGTTCGGTCCCAAACCCATTTACAAACTTGATATGGGCTGGTCCAAGTCAATCCATCATTGATTGAACCAGTCCAGTCTAGTCCAACTGAACTAATCCAAATCCAAGCGGTTCAACCACTCTTGATGTGATTAGCTTAAAGACAATCCAATTAGATAGTTCAAGTTGGTCTAATCAGTTTGAACCTAAGTGGTTCGGTCAAACACGAAACCCAAACACAGTCAAATGGTTTTGCCGCTTGTGTAAAAGTAAAAATGCATATAATGTGATTTAAACCTTCACTTGTGTAATTAACAACTACTATTACCACCAAGCTATGACCAACTTGTTTGTCAAGTGGGATTAAGTTTTTTATTTTAAGTACATAAATATTAGTTTAATGGGTTTGGGTAGGTTGGATTGGGTCAAAGCGGGTTTGGGTTGAACCCAACCCATTTAATTTTATATAACTGGTTCATTAATGGGTTGGCAGGTTAGATGGATTGGGTTGAAGCTCAACCCAAACCAAACCCAACCCAACCCAACCTGCCCAATTGCCACAGCTAGGAATTAGTAACCACACATTTACCTTCATCTAGTAGTGAAGCTCGAGCATCAGTCACTTGTTAGTAGTGAGCTTACATTGAATCTAGCGAGCAAGGTTTAGCTAAACGCAATGGCTATTGCTGTGGAGCCAATGATAAGGTTCCATGCCAGTAATAAAATACATGGGGCCCACACATTTTGGCAACCTTGTTTAATGTTCCACTCATCTTCATAATTTGTTATTTTTTTACCATCTAAAAGAAAAATGACGGGTCTTCCTAATCCTGCAGGTCAATCACCCACTTAGCATGATGTCTTTACTTTAGAAGTTCTTTTAATCAAAACAAGTTGGGTTCTTGTTCCACTTAGGGCCAGTCCCTTTTTTTTGTATTTTGAGAGGGGGGAAAGTTGGCCAATGTGATTTTGGTTACCATTGACCAAGATACCCATATTCTTTTTTCAAATTTATCCACAACAAATTTATTTTCCCTCTCCCAGGGGTGGATTTGAGCTCGACTCGAGCTTGAGCTCGATTTGAGAAAAAAATATTTTTATTTTATTTTATTATATATATATATATATATATAATATATATATATATAAGGCTCAAGCTTGGCTCGAAGCTTGATTGAAACCGAGCTGAGCCAAGCTTTTCCCGAGCCGAGCTTGAGTAGGTAGTGAAGAACTTGGCTTGTGGCTACCCCTACCCATCTCCTAGGTGGATAAGTAACTTTCCAACTTAAAAGGAAAATTGCCAACACTTGGATAAGACAAAATTGGTCCTTTTATTTTTTAATAATGGATTTTTATGGCTAAAATGGTCATTGTCCTATTTACCTGAAAAATAAAAGAATATAGGTAAAAAAAATTTACCTAGGAAATACTTGCCAGCAAGAATGGCCTTTGCTTAATAGCAAACATACTAGAGCTTTAAATCCATGAGGTAGGAGGCGGGTAACAAGTAGCAACACTTGATCATTAAAAATGGATATCTTATGTGACAACAATTGCTAATTACTCTGATCTACAAAGTAGAGATCCCTGACAAAGGTTGACAAAGGTGAAAAGGCACTTTTTTCATCTACTCGGATATAAATTAGGGCTGTTCATAAGAATGCCCAACCCAACCAACTCGGATTGACCCAACCCGAGTTGGCTGGGTTTTCATCAATACCGGTCGGTTTCAGGTTAGGAAAATATATAAACCGATATATTGGGTCGATTTCGGTTTTCTTGTGTGAAAACCGAAACCAACCCGACCCGAACCGAACTAATCTTCTACTAGTTCGGTAGTTCCTAGTTTGAGTAGTTTCTTACTTAACTATAACTAGTCTTCTACTAGAACTAGAAGGCCCATTAGGCAATTACAATTAGAATAAGCAATCTATCATAGTTTCTAACTTTCTAAAACCTTTTACACCAAATAGGCAACCCATTAGGCAATTACAATTAGAATTCAATTAGGTGTCCTTTTGTATAGAAGCAAAATCGAAACCGACCCAAACCGATCCAACCCGACTCAAACCGACCAGGTCGGTTTGGCCTATCAATGGGTCGGTTTCGATTTCCACCTCAGGTAACCCGACCAGGTCGGGTCGGTTGGGAAAACCCCAATAAACCAACCCAACCCGACCCATAAACACCCCTAGTATAAACAGAGGAGCATTTCTTTGCTGAGGAATTCTAGCTGCCATGATAGCTAAGAACTTCTGAAAGAAGGGTAGGAAACTGGAGGAAGGATGCTGTTGCAAAATCTCTAATGTGCCGCACGTTGAGCTGCAGACAAGTTTCTGTCCTAGATGATTTGTTGATGTTACATTTGGCATGTTTTCCACTATTAATTCATAAAGATGTTGAGAGCCAAAACTTTCATTTATTGATGTATAATTGTATACTCCATATTAGTTCATAAAGATGTTCACAGAGACACCAAAAGCATGAACTCATGATTCTCTTGACCATCCAAAAGCATGGAATAGTAGTAACTAGTACCTACAAATATGAAACAGCCAATAACAGCAAGTGCATTGTTTATCTCATTCCTTGACACTTAATATAAATGTCCATAACTGGAAGTTTCATGCTAGAGTCTACCAACTTGTAGGTGACCAAGTTATACTTTGGTTTCAAAGCTACATATTTTTTTTTGTTACTCCCAAGGTGACCAGGAGTAACTAAATTATTCTGAAAGCCAGTCCCCATTAATATACAGAACATAAATTACAACAGCAAAATTTAAACGATACTTAGTTGGGAACAACTCAACTGCAAAGAGATTTGAACTATCCATCTTTTACTATCCATCAGTTGTTGCAGATCCATCATCCTTAGACTCTCTACAAGGTTAAGTAATGCATTCTGCAAAGAGAACAAATGAGAAGCAAAAGTCTAGCTTGTTTTGCTCCATTTTCACCAATTCAAGCATTCAACTGTTTCTCACACATCAAGATCCTCCAGCTAGCATGAGGTCCCTCGGCTGTGTCATATATTACCACATGCCAACCCATGGCTGTCGCAATCTCTTTAAGTTCATCAACAACAGATCTTAAGTCACGAATGTAAACACGCCCACCTGGTCTTAGCATTCGATCCATTTCGAGCATGATAGTTGAGATGTTGCATCTGTGACAGATTTTAAGAAATAGAAAATATTAGAAATGAGCATTACCTTTAGAAAAGAAATGAGGGTGAAGCATCTGACAAAAAATAAATAGGAGAATGGTAAGACATGCCAGAAGAAAGTGCTATGAGTACCTTATTAAGAGTGTAGTGTGCAAACATTCTTTTTTTTTTCTTTTTTTTTGTGTACACAAACAACATTCAATATAGGATACAGCAATCAATACCTTTTCTGTTCGGTGGAGAAAAGACCCCATGCATGTAACAGGTCGTAAGTTCTTGGATATGTATCAAAAGGTTCACACCTAAGAAAGGAAGTTTCAGTTAGCAGTGTCATAATAACAAAATCCCATTAAAGTACTAATGCAAACCAATAAAATAAAGTGAAGTGAATATTAAAAGATAAAAGCCCTTAGGAATTGATTTTGGAAAATAAAGCCTAGACCATCTAAAATAAAATCATGTCTTGAATGGGCACCAAAATCAAGAAATTGTTTATTTGCACATTCTTATATTTATAAATGAGAGCAATCTTGTCATAGCATAAATTTGTTTAACAACAGTGTTGGGGAAATAGGAAAACTGAAGTCTTTTCTCTGAAACAAGGTTTTATAGAGAAACTGAAAGGTTTTTCTTTCTTTTCTTTTCTTCTTTTTGAAAAAATGATGAATCCTGGATAGAGCTTGCAAAACCAGAATGCTCTTAGCTTCTTAATATGATCTTGAAGAAATGGAACTTTATACAGGCGGTTTCATGGAGCTTCAGTTGACTTTTCTACAATGGGAGGTGGAACTCCTGGTAGCTCCTAAATCCTAGAGAGTTTCTTATCCCGCATCCTAGACAGTTCCCGTGGAACCAAATGTCTCCATAGCACCTGTATCCTAAATAGTTTCCATAGACCTAGCTAGCAATTCCTCATAGCTCCCCCATCCATATTTTAGTTTCTTAATATTCATCCTTGGCAGTTCGAAGATTGTTTAGAAGCTCTTTATGTTCTCTTCCTATGATCGTTTTCATCACAAGAAATTAAGAACAAGGTTATGTTGTTCAGTACTTTTGCAATCACCGCACTTTGGTTGCATGAGAAAAAGGACCTGTGGAGCTGTGATACTCCAACTTATGTTACAATTTTTAGAAGGGAAAAAGAAGTTAAGATATACCATCAGGAGCTGGGTGAAAAATGGTGCTCCTGCTGAGTGCTATGTATAGAAGGGGCAAGAAAAGAATTTCATCACTATGGCATTTCTTATTACTCTATGCAGCTACATGTCACTTGGAAACTTTTGAATTCATATGCTTACAGGCAGCAAAAGAGATATCAAGGAAAGTTTTGTTGTCCTCTATCCACAGCAAAGTAAATGCTGCCTAGACATTCTTCTACATGCTCAATCTAGAATATGATTGGACAAGAGAATAGTGGCAACTGATGCGCAGTAGAACCTGTCATCAGAATGTACAGTTTTTTTTCCCCTTTTCCCAATTCTACTGGATACAAGAGAATTGCAAACATACAAGCAATACTAGGACATCAAGATATAAGAAATTGATTGAAAGAACAACCTTTGTTACTGATGCGCAGGTTACCCATAGAGGTTATCAAGAGAGGCTATCCATATTCCACAATTGTGATGATAATCAAAATAGTGGCAACTGACGTGGGGATTAAGAACATCGGTTTCTCCCAGGCAACATGCAACTAATGTAGAAACTGGTTTCAGTGGTGCTTGTGCTCCATAAATTTAATAATTCCATTCACTTGATAGGTTCCATTTCTTTTTTTTTTAAATCAGAAAATAGGTTCCATTTCTTCATTGGTACCACCAGATGGTATGCCCTTTTTTCTGGAGAAACCCTTGAAGTGAATAATATAGATAGATAATCTTATAACTTGCATTTCTGCTATAGTCACCCTCTCAATTCTTTAGATAAACCTCCTATAGTTATGTGTCAGTAAAATACTGTTTACACAGTCCAATGCTGAGACAAAATAGAGTAAATGTTTGTGTAGCTTCCAGTCTTTATGGGTGTAATAGCATAAAGAGTTGGCTAAATAGGTCTTTCTCCAGTACCTCTACAGTGACACTCAGACTACAATTCATATTACCAAACACTGATGTCCTGATATGCATTGATATATAAATACATGAAAGTTGATTTCTACTTCAAGAAGAGTCTTGCATAATTTTTCACTACAAAAGACTAACATAATTTCAGATCTTATCTGTGCCAAGTTGGAAATTACTTGCTAAATATACTCTTGATTAAAGTAAATTCTTATTATTACTATTGTAATTGGTGTATCTTGTCACTTCAATAGTTAGTTCAATACTATGAAGAGGATCTTAAAGGCATAAAACCCCCATATACATTTTATTTGCTTCTATATTAACCACTGTTTCGTTTTTTCTTCTCTTCTCTCCTTTATCTTTCTTTTCTTCTTAATTTATTTCTCTTACAGATACAATTCCTCAAGAGGAAAAAAATCACAGGATTATATGCAACAATCATAACAATCTAGAAACTAATTAAGTAGCAACATGCATTCAATCCAAAAAGGGCAGGACATTATAAACTCATCCATCTAAAATTCCAAGAATGTAGCCAAGTTGGGGGAAATCCAGCTTTAGCAACATCAGTTCATATTTACTTTGCAAACAAATGCATGTTACAATTCTAAAGAAATTGATTGTAGTTGAGAAAATTGATCTGAGTATATTCACCTAAACAATAAAAGTGTACAACAATGATTCTTCATGCCTCTCATTTGGTCACATATATTCAGCACTAGGCTCACAGAAACATATTTTAAAGCTTGTAAGTGGAATATGCATACCAGTCATGCATTACTCCTATGAGTCCACGGTCATATATAACAGGCAAGGTATTGGGCCCACTAACAGGGACAACATTCATCACCCAACAATCAATCTCTAGATCATGTAATGCTGCTGCAAACCTGAAATGAACACAATATTCAACCAATCACTAAAGAAGAATAATCATAATTGATTTCGCATCTTTCTTTAAAGAAGTATCCAAAACTTGAAAAGAATTTGAACCATCTCCAACCCACATGGGATCATAAACTGGGGAAATGTTGAAAGAATACAAATACACTAGTTCATACCCTCCAAACCCAGCCCGCATGTCCATCACATTCCGTAGCTTTAACTTCTTCCAATGGAAAGCACGGATATAGCTTTCTATTACTTCATACCAATATCTTGATTCAGCCTTAAAGAGCTCCTTTCTGGATATATAAGCATCAATTTCTATGCTCTGGAGCCTATCTGGGGGATTATGCAGGCGAGCAGGCCATGCAGTAATATTAGCTCCATACCCGTTCTCAGGTAGTCGGGTTATACATGCTTTAAGACCAACATACCTGCAAGAAGCATGACAACAGTGAAAGCTTTGTTAAACCAACATTTTTTGGGGAAGGGAAGTTTGAAGACTAGCACTATTTCATGCTCATGATAGATTATACTGAAGTACAGGCTAAAAAACCCCATGGAGGGACCTCATCCATCTTTTACTGAACTGAAGTTACAGGTTAAAGACTTCCATTGAGGAGAGAATCAATCTCACACAATCAACTCAACTCACCTTGCCATTTGCAAGACTATCAGCAAAATAGTTGGCTGACCTTGGAATCCATCTGAAAAGAATGTTCATTGTGGTTTGTGGAAGCCAAAGCCTAGCCTATCTGATTTGATAGAATAAACCTCTCAATAACAATCTTAATCACCCTCCAACCTCTCAAAACTCAATGAAAGCGTCAACCTGAGGCCCTGTGACAGTGCCAAAATCTTTAATCTAATCAAATTGTTCTGAATAAACCAATTTCAATGACTGGGAAATTGATATTTGGATCCTATGCTTCAGAAGAGACAGGCTGACTCCCCTAAACCACAAGATATGGTTTTCAGTGTCTGAGCTTGGGATGCAGATGGTGAATCTTCTATTAGTTTGTTATTTCAACCTTAGAGCACCTAGAAAAGCTCATAATTGATACTTCTTTCCATTTATGTGCTAGGGTGGAGGAGTCACCTATTTTTTTTTCTCTTATTGTTCAAGCATAAAGGCTTGATTTTTAACACCTTCAAAGTATATGGGTGCTTCCCATCATTTACTGGAGACTTCTTCCACAGCTAGCAGATCAAGGGCCTTAGTAAGAGGGGAAAGACATAAAGGGACAAACTTCCTTTTGTGGTAATATGGACCATCTGGAATTAAAGGAATGCTGACATTTTTTTTTTACAACAAGAGCACTCCCCAAGAATAAATCTTGAATAAGGCAATTGGAACCACCAGATCATGGCTGACTATTTGCAAAGGTTTCAAGGAAATCCCCTTATCATTATTTACTTTTTACAACTCTGTATAGGCAGTACACAGAACTAGCACATGTATACTTTCTGGGCCTTTTTGAGTCCCATCATAGAGCTCCTTACTGTACATCCGCTGCTGTACTTACTCTTGTACTAGTTGTATATGAAATGCAAGTTCTGTTAATATGCAGCATTCTTCTTTCCAAATACATTTCAGATTTACAATGATTTTCTAACTTCATCAAGAAGTGGTACAAGCTACTCTGGCAGCTTGAGATGATTAGGAACTTTGGATACAGAATACGAATTTTATTTTTTGTAAGGTAAAGTAATTTCATTAAAGGGGCAAAATAGACCCCAAAGCTATACAGTCAAACATTGTACAGGACATTAAGGCCATTACTCAATGTTCGTCCCAGCCATCTGGGGTCTTGGCAGGGGTAGACTCAGTATGGTCCTAACCTTTGGCATTTTTTTCACAGAAAGTAGCTGCCCTCAGACTTGAACCTGTGTTCTCATGCTTGCCAGCCTGAGATTTTACCATTACACCAAGTAATGGCCCCTAGTGAGACACTGAACAAACATATACAAATAATCTTCTGCTGAAAGAAACAAAAAGCATGAAGAGTACCACCCTTTAGCTCACTAAACAGTCTCTCTCGAACAGAGAATGAAAAAGTAACATTACTAAATTCATTTCTAACAGAAATCCAAGCATAGGCTAGTGTAGAAGTTCTCATCTTCCTGAGTTGCTTTTCTGTTAAAGATTTGAGAGTTCCTTTCCAATCCATATGCACCAAATAACCATCACTGGTACAACTCTCCATACTGCCCTGCCTTTGTTGTTATATATATATATAGCAACAAAGGCAGGGCAGTATGGAGAGTTATACAAGTGATGGTTATTTGGTCCATATTACTTAATTATGACATCACAGATTGATCCATTTGACCCAACTGGTTGAACTGCTAACCCATCATGTGGACAGAAAAGTGGTCCCCTTCTAGGTTGGTCTTAAAAAGACTACAAGTTGTTTTTTTTTTTATGTTAAACAAGTTCCCCCCTCCTTTCCCACTTTTTTCACACCAAAATAGTGTGATTTTACTTCCCAATAATTTAGAACTACAAATAATCCTACCTTTTCCCATCCCATCTCGTGACATCCCATAGACCAAACGTGGGAAGGGAAATTCAAGAATATTCTTTTTTCTCATTTCATCCCACAAACCAAACACAGCCTAAGGGATCTATGGAAACTCAGCTCACATTCAAAGTGAACAAGAAAAGGGTAGATTTTCATGCCATAAGGGCGGTGTATAAACAGGTGGTCCACAAGTCAATGACACACAGGACTTAATAGATTTTCTATTACATTATTCTGTGCTAATGATGCCCAAGATTAAATCAAGGGTTCAGCCCCATTGCAAAAAGGATTCGATCTGGACAATCCATTGCAGAGTTGCTCAGCTCCTCTGGATAAGGTTTTTGGGGCTGTTTGAAGCTCAGTTCTGTTTACTAGAAAATGTGCTAGCAGTTCTTCAGAGCTGGCATCTGAAGGGGCTTTCGAAAGAAGGCAAGGTAATTTGGAGAGCAGGTCCAGCTTTAGTGGTCTGGACAATATGGAGAGAAAGAAACAAAAGAATGTTTGAAAATGTGTTTGTTTCAGAAGATAATTTATGTAAAGGTTTTTGGGATAGGATGTATTCATGGGTAGGGGCTCATAATCTTTTCAGGAATAGATCTTATAGCTCCTTTTGTAATCCGGGAGCTCTTTTTGTATCTACGCTTACAGAGTACTCTTGTAGTTTGACGTACAGCTTCTGGTTGAGCACTGCACAGCTCCTTGTTGTGCAGATTTGGCTATTGCTTTTTGTCCAATATATTACTTTACCTTTTCATCAAAAAAAAAGGACTCAATCTATCCCAGATAAGAAAATAGACAATGATAAAAATTTAAACAAAACACAAATACACCCAAGTGTGAACTGTGAAGGAGTGATTACAATTCAAACATACAGGGAAACGAGAAAAGCTAGAGCTGGCAAAGATTATGGAGTAAATTAACTCTTGAAAATATTGGACCGAGGCAAGCAAAATTATCTACCACATAATCTTGGTTGGCATTTTCCTTATCCTAACTTTTTTTTAATAGATGGGACCAAACAGTGTAATCCCAGTGAAGGTGGCACATCTCAGAAAAGGCCTTCTATTTCCTCAGGCCTCTTGATTATGCAGGGTTATTGATATCCTGGTAAACAGGATCTGATTAGTGAAATGGTCCACTGACAGAAGTTACTAGGAGGAGAAAGAAAAAACTCACTGCATGGAGCCAAGCTTTTGAAAGCAAACCAATGTAATAGTCTTGAAATTGCTTTATTCAGAATATTATTAAATATACAGATATTAGAAAATATCTAGAAGAAACAAACAAATAAGAAAAATAATTCCCAAAGCCTAATTTTACAATAAAGTATCCAATGGTTTTCTCTTATGTATTCATAATTGCCAATATAGAAAATCTTTAAACATAAAAAATTATAGAAATTATTATTTTCATTCCAGTGCTACAAATATTCCTTTGTTATGCATTCACATAACTAACAAGTTTATGTCAATGGAGATACCAAACATTGTCAGGGTTGTCACTGAGATCACATAGTGGAGGTTGGGCTCCAGCGCCGCGATTGATGTAGCAGCTGTTGTTTAAAGGCTTCCTCCATATGGCAATATATCCCTCCTTTTTCACAAGTTCCCAACAAAGGCGTAAAGTAAGTTCTTCCATATCTGTGCATAAATAAACCAACATATGCATTACTTGCAAGAGGAGGTCCCATGGCGTTTGTCATTTTCTGATGACATAGTATTAATTGATGAAACTAGAGAGGGATTAAAAGCAAAATTGGATTTATGAACAAATGCCTTAGAAACAAGAGGATTTTAAATAAGTAGTACTAAACAGAATATGTGCAATGTAAATTTAATAATAACAGTGGAATCACGATACACTCGGGATTGGAGACCACAAGATATCTCATTGTGTTCTATTTTGTTACCTTGGTTTGATAGTCCACAACAAGGGAGAGATTGAGGATGTTGCCGACAGAATGAGAGCAAGATGGGTRAAAAGGAGTGCATCCATGGTCCTATGTGATAGGAGAATACCACTTGGGCTAAAAAGAAAATTTTTAGATAGTTAAAAGGCCAGCAAGGTTGTATGGAGTTGAATTTTTTTTAATGAATTTGTATGGAATTGAATGTTGCACAATCAAGAAACATGTCCAACAAATGAGTGTAGCAGAGATGTGAATGTTGAGATGAATTAGTGGGAAAATCTAGAAAGGATAGAATTAGAAATGAACTTGTTTGAAGGAACCTAGGAGTAGCTCCAATAGGTGATTGTTAAAGTCGACTGTGTAGGGATATTTTAGTCTTTATGTTTATGTTTAAGTTGCTGATGTGTAAAGTTCTGTTAGTACTTGTGTAAGGTGTCCCTTCATGATTAATAGAAATATATAAATAGATCTGGCCAACTAGAGAGAGACTGATTTTCTCTCTTGTTCGAACCAGACTTCTCTCCTTTATTCTCTTCTTTTCTTCTTCTTCCTCTTCTCCTCTTTCTCTTATTTCTACAGTCACTATTCTAACAGAATTCAAAGGCAGATTGGATTATAATATGGTATCAGAGCCAGGTTGAGCAAATCAAATCTGCCCAGGATTCTGATCTTCACGCATCCAGTCTAGGGTTTTCTTCTTTTTTCTTCACCATCAGTTGGAGATAAGGGAAGGGGCTGATTCGAGTGATTTGTAGGAAGCCCTCCCCTAATCGATGAAGAGAAGAGGGCTGATTCGAGTGATGCAGTGGGTGTTGGGTATAGTCTGATTTTCTGGTAATTAGGTAAGTGGTTTTTTATGCAGTTTTTATTGTGAATCAAATGATGAATATGTTCCAGATCGTATGGTGGAAATTCAGGTTGTAGTGTGTTAGGGTTTATGCAAATTTCAGTGTGGTTTGAAGGGGGAGTGATCTTCGAGTAGTGTGGTGAGTTTTCAGGTAGTCGTGTGGTAGGGTTGTGGTGTAGAGAGTGCAGAATTCAGCAATAACAGGTGCTGAGAACAGTGTGGTTTAGTGTGCAGTGTGCAGAATTCAGCAATGAGAGACAATAGTGACAATAAAACTAGTGTGATGGTTCCTACTGACTACCTGAATGTTCAAATGACCTCTATCAAGTTGAATGGAGAAAATTATGTACCTTGGGCAAAATCTGTAGAAGTCTTTCTTAAAGCAAAGAAGAAAGTGAAACACATAAGGGAAGAAAAACCCTCTACTGATTGTCATGAGTATGGTGACTGGGAACAAGAAGATGCTTAGATTATTACATGGTTATGGAACAGTATAGAACCCAAGATTAGTATGAATTTCATGTTTCTTGATACTGCCAAGGAAGTGTGGGACCATGCTAAGAAACTGTATTCGGGCCAAAACAACACAACTAGAGTATATCAGTTGTATCAGGAATACTTTAATTTGCAACAGGGTAATCAGAGTCTTGAGGAATACTATGCTAGCATGAGAAACACTCATAATGAGCTGAATGTGTATCACCCCCTCACCTTTGATGTTAAAATTCAGCAACAGTAGAGAGAACAACTAGATGTGACCTGATTTTTGGTGGGGATGAAGTCTGAATATGAACCAATGCGGGCACAGATACTAGGAGGATCAGCTCTCCCTTCCTTAGAAGAGGTGTTTGCTCAACTTAGGAGGATTTCTATTGGATCTACCGAGAATTCTAGTGTTTCCGATAGATCAGCCTTTGCAGTATCAAGGGGCCATGGTGTTAGAGGTGGAGCTCGGGGAGCTCAATTTGGTTGTAGTGGTAGCAGTGAACCGGTATATGGCCGTAGTGGTGGTGGTGGACCTATGTATAACCGTAGTGGTAGTCGTAGTGGAGGTTGAGATTCAGGGGGAGTTCGTGGCAGAGGACGTAGTTCAGGTCCGAGAAGATGTACACACTGTGGTATGGATGGACATACCATCAATTATTGTTATGATTTGCATGGCCCACCTTCAACTTGGGCCAATCATGCTATGACTAGTAATAGCAACTTTAGACAGGAGAGCCATTCAGCTGATCAGATGCCCCCTGCATCCACAGATGTTCTCGGGAAGGAGATGATGAGTGTTCCCTGTGATGAATATGAGAGGTTTGTTCAGGCCACATCTCAAAAAAATACAGCCACTCTTGCACACTCAGGTATGGTTTGTCTGGCATCCACACCCAATCCCTAGATTATTGACTGGAGCCTCTGATCACATGACTAGAACTCCAGGTGTGTTTTCTTCCCTCTCTCACTGCCCAACGTCACAATCTATTACCCTTGCTAATGGTTCCACATCCTCCATTTGTAGTGTTGGTAATGTTAACATAGACCCTTTACCTTTATCCTTAGTTTTGTATGTCCCCAAATTTCCTTTTAACCTTATGTTTGTTAGTAAGTTGACCAAGTCTCTTAATTGCTCTATCACTTTTTACCCTTCTTCGTGTGTTTTTCAGGATCTCAAGACGAGGATGAAGATTGGTGGAGGGCATGAAGCTGGTGGATTGTATTACCTTGATGGTGGTGGAAGTACATCAACAACTCTCCAGACATCCCTTTCTCCTCTCTAGTGGAACTATTGATTTGGTCATCCGTCGCTGAAAGTTTTGAAGTCTCTTGTTCCTTTGTTAAGCCATCTTTCTGTTTTGGATTGTGAGCCATGTCAGTTAGGGAAACATCATCGTGTTTCTTTTACTCCTAGGGTTGATAAACGTATGTCGAGTCCTTTTTCTTTAGTTCATTCAGATGTTTGGGGTCCTAATAAAGTAATGCCATACAATGGGTATAGATACTTTATTATTTTTGTTGATGAGATATTCAAGGATGACATGGCTTTATTTAATGAAAGAAAGAAGTGAATTGTTTACCATTTTCCAAAAATTTTATGCTGAAATTTGCAACCAATTTGGTGTCCACATTACAATTCTTCATTCCAATAATGGCCGTGAATATTTTTCTACACCATTTCAAGAATATTTGGAACAACATGACATTATCCATCAGACTTCATGTACCTACACCCCACAACAAAATGGGGTGGCTGAGAGAAAGAATTGTCATCTTTTGGAAACTGCTTGATCGCTCATGCACCATATGAATGTACCCAAACCTTTTTGGAGTGATGTTGTGCTTACTTCTTGCTTCCTGATTAACCGAATGCCCACGTTTATCCTTGATGGTCATTCTCCCTTCACCACTTTGTTTCCTACCTTGTCTCCGTTTCCCCTTTCTCCTCGGGTTTTTGGGTGTGTTTGTTTTGTTTACAATCTGAGACCGGGAAGGGACAAGTTAGATGCATGATCCATTAAGTGCATTTTCCTTGGCTATTCCCAGACCCAGAAAGGGTATAAGTGTTATAATCCTAGTTCTCAACGTTCCTTTGTGTGTACTGATGTTACTTTCTTTAAGTCCATTACGTTTTTCTCGGGGCTAGGTGTTGTTTCTTCTTCCTCACCACCTCCTCCCTTCCACTTCCAATTGCGGATCCCATTCCACTTGTTTTAGCTGTGACTAAATCTTTGCCTCCGGTGCCACCACCTGTTGAATGACCACCTATTCGTCAAGTGCATACACATCGCCAACATGTACTGGCTCCTCCACCAGCTCCATCATCGTCAACAGATCCGGCAATTGTTCCCACACCAGCCCCAACCCCAATTTCTGAACTTGATCTTCCCATTGCCTTGCGAAAAGGTAAACGCAGTTGCACCCTTCATCCTATTTCTAATTATGTTTCTCTCACTCACCTTTCTGCTTCCCATCACCAGTTTATCTCCTTGTTATCCTCTGTTGTTGTCCCTACGGATGTCCAGAAAGCTCTTGCCTCTTCAGGGTGGCGCCATGCAATGGAAGAACTCTCAACTCTTACTCATAATTATACATGGGACCTCACCACACTTCCTCTTGGTAAGTAGGTTGTCGGTTGTATACACTGCTAAGTACTTACTTGATGGTAGTGTAGAGCAGTTGAAAGCTAAATTGGTTGCCAAAGGGTACTCCCAAACATATGGTATTGACTACACGGATACCTTCTCCCCGATTGCTAAGATTGGTTCAGTTCGTGTTGTGATATCCCTAGCTGCTATGTATGATTGGCCTCTCTTTCAACTTGATATCAAGAATGCTTTCTTACATGGCGATTTACTTAAAGAGGTCTATATGGAGCAACCATCGGGGTTTGTTGCTCAGGGGGAGGATGGTAAGGTGTGCCGACTAAAGAAGGCCATTTATGGACTTAAACAATCTCCTCGCGCATGGTTTGGTAGGTTCAATGAGGTGGTAAAGAAGTTTGGTATGAAACAGTGCCAAGTTGACCACTCAGTCTTTAGTCATGACTCTCAGGCTGGAAAGATCCTATTGGTGCTATATGTAGATGATATTGTTATTACCGGAAATGATAAAGTGGGAATTGATAGGTTGAAGATCTTTCTACAGGAACGCTTTCAGATAAAGGACCTTGGTAAACTAAAGTATTTCTTGGGGATAGAAGTAGCAAGGTCTAAGCATGGTATTAATTTGTGTTAAAGGAAATATGTTCTTGATTTGTTGGAAGAAACAGGATTGTTAGGTGTCAAACCAGTTGAAACACCTATGGAAGCAAATGCTAAGCTGAGTAGTGATATGGGTGAAGAGTTTGAAGACCCTGGCAGGTACCGGCAGCTAGTAGGTAAACTAAACTACCTAACCATTACTCAGCCAGATATTTCATTTGCAGTTTGTGTGGTAAGTCAGTTCATGCAGGTTCCACATTGGGATGCAGTTCTAAGGATTGTGAGGTATTTAAAGGGGGCTCCTGGTTGTGGCTTGATATATATATAGAAGTGGAGGAAAACTTGAAATAAAGGGATATACTAATGCTAATTGGGTTGGTTCTATATCTGATAGGAGATCCACTACAGGCAATTGTACTTTTCTTAGGGGTAATCTGGTGACATGGAAAAGTAAGAAACAGACAGTTGTAGCAAGAAGTAGTGTAAAGGCAGAATATAGAGCTATGGCTCATACTACTTGTGAATTAGTGTGGCTGAGGAGCCTTCTACAGGAGATAGGATACAATGTTAACACTCCAATGAAGCTCTACTGTGACAATCAAGCTGCAGTCCATATCTCTTCTAATCCGATGTTTCATGAGAGAACCAAGCATATAGAGGTTGACTATCACTTTGTGAGAGAGAAGGTGCTAAGTGGAGTGATAGATACTACATATGTTAACACAGGAAACCAATGGGCATATTTGTTTACCAAAGGGTTGAGTTGGGGAAGAGTGGACTGCATATGTAACAAGCTGGGACTATATGATATATACTCACTAGCTTGAGGGGGAGTGTTAATGTCGACTATGTAGGGGTAGTTTAGTCTTTATGTTTATGTTTAAGTTGTTGATGTGTAAAGTTTTGTTAGTACTTGTGTCCCTCACTTAAGTAGCGGCAAAGGTGTCCTTTTATGATTAATAGAAACATATAAATAGATCTGGCCGACTAAAGAGAGACTGAATTTCTCTCTTGTTCGAACCAGACTTCTCTCCTTTATTCTCTTCTCTTCTTCTTCTTCTTCTTCCTCTTATCCTCTTTCTCTTATTTCTACAGTCACTATTCTAACAGAATTCAAAGGCAGATTGGATTATAATAGTGATAAACAAAGTTTTCAAGGCGCCAAGGCAAGGCTAGGTGACAGGGGCACCTTGTCGTTTAGTTGCCTAGGCGATGGATTTTTGTAAGTAGAAGCATGTATCCTATGGTAGTTTCCTAGGTTCTATAATCATATTTCCTTAATAAATATCTATAATTTTCATAAGAGAAGTATAAACTTCATGTATAGAAAATCAACATATTCCAACATATTCATGAGAAGAAAAAGAAGAAAAGAAAAGGTGGAAGAAGAAGAAATTAGTATATAAACACACAAAATTAGTAAAGAAAAATAAGAAAATATGTTGATTGGACAACATTTTATGTTCTTCCTTGCTTATTGGTTCAGGTTTTGAAGTTTTTGAGGGTTCAAYACAGMAYTTAGCAATGTTTGTGTTGATTAAACCCTAACAAATAAGAAAATAATAAAAAGAAATTAGTATATAAACACACAAAATGAATATTTTAGTTTAAAAATGTCTATTTTATAATTATAACCTCAAAGAATTAAGAATACAAAAGTTTTTTATAACACACTATAGAAAACTACTTGGCGATTAGGCGGGGCAAGCCTCCAAGGGCACCTTGTTGCTTAGGCGGTGCCTTGACAACTACATGAGGTATAACTAAGATGGTTTGGTCATGTGCAAAGAAGACCATCTCCCACACCAGTAAAAAGAAATGATAGGTTACCAGTTGAAGGGTCTAGAAGAGTTAGGGACAGACCAAAAAGAGCATTGGTTGAGATAGTGAGAAATGATTTAAGGGACCATAACCTAACAATGAATATGATAATCAATAAAATGGAATGGTGGAAAAGGATTCATRTAGCTGACCCCAGATAGTTGGTACAAGACTTGATTGAATTGAGATTACTTGCAGCATAATCGCAGGTTTGAGAATCATCGGTCATCATCATGGAGTTAGAAACTGAATGTCATTTAATATTCTGCCAGTTGTAATCCCCTTCCTATTTATTTTCAATTACCATTCTAGGTAACATTAATGAGTACTAAGGAGGGATGGACTAAAACACCAAGTGATGATCAGGGATTCTGCAATTACATTAAACAAAACAATGAACAATACAAATTCCTTAATCTGTAACTCTAAAATCACATTCTTTTTGATTGGTAACCGAAACTTTTATTGATTAATAAGTTCTTAAAGCTTACTTTTGACAGCATCTATTTGGATAGCTACCTTTCCATTGTTCTTGTAGGTTCTCATCATGTTTATAAACAGGTTCTGCTGCCCAAACAAAGTATCCTCCAGCTCTTAGCATCCTGTTGACCTCAAGGAGCAAAATACCATCTTCACAACAGGAAAAAAAAGCATGATCAATACTGAAAGGAAAAGTTTTGACAATAAAGTATTGGACATACATAAACACATAGAGACACATATACATGTACCATGTACGTATATGCATATACAGATGTGCCTATACATGTATATATGTAACTATCATACTTAAATCTGTGTCCAAATTGATGCTATAAATTTACCGGAATAACTACTTTGACCATGTTAAAATAATTATACTTATTTAAAACTTGAAATGTGAAATAAATAAACCCATACCATCTTGGGTCCAATTAATTCTACACATTGAACAGTGTATCAAGTCAAAAGCCTGGCTTGGATATAATAAACGCTGGGTTGCAAAGGTTGCTACCATAGCAGGCACACCACGCTCTAGAGCAAACTGAATCTGGTTCTCATGAACATCTTTTGGTGCTATGGATAGAGTATTTACATTATGTGCAAGAAGAAAGGCACCAAAACTAGCTACTCCACAATCCACATCCAAGGCAATTTGGGTATGATGACCAAATGCTATATTAGGAACCATCTGCATATTCAGGTCAGAAATGAGAATAAATGTCACATGGAGGAAGACAGAGAGAACTGAATATTTATCTCTCTTCAAACAACTCTGAATTTTGTACACAACAGACCTTCAAAATCTGATCCAAGTATTGGTCTGCCCCATGGATAAACTGGGTTGCACCTCCTAGAAATTTATATTTATCTTTCTCTCTTGATATCCAATTCTGACCCCCTTTGTCTTCAACCAAATGTGTATATGGTACATTGTTGGACCAAACCTGTAATCAATAATTATATCTTTGGTTTTTTATAAGTAAAGAAATTTTATTGCCAAGTGGAGACTGAAACCAGCATACAAGAACAACCCTAAAGGCAAACAAAACAAAGAACCCAAAAAAAAAAAAAAGAAAGAAAACAGATCCTCAAGGTTCAAAGATTGATCACCACCCACCCATTACAGAAGTTTGAAAATTGAAACCCTTCAATACCCTTGAAGATGGAACCCAAGATACAATAGTTCTTAGAATGCGCCAAATTAACACCTGGACCTCATGTGTTTTCTCTCCTTCCATATGCATCAACAAATAGCAAAAGGATACAAATTCCATAAGATTCTTCCCCTTTTACTGAAGGTTCTATCCAGCCAGGATTCCACTAGGAAAACTAGGTAGTCAGGAATGACCCAATTTTGTCCAAAGAAGGGTCATTACTTGGAGCAATGGTAAATTCTCAGGATGGAAAGTGTGAAAATGCAGTTTCGAGTCTGAAAATAGCCACTTTGTGCAAAAACAAAAAAAAAATAAAAAAAATAAAAAAGCCAAAGGTTAGGACAATATCCAGTCTAACCCACCCAAGACCCCAGACAGCTGGGACCAACATTGAGTAATGGCCTTTTTTAGCTGGGTAAAAGTGCCTTTCTTTGTACTAAATGGTCAATAGTCAAAGTGAAGATATAGTGAAGAGAACTTGAAACAATCATTTGCTAGATAGGAGTTAGCTTTAGAACCAATCAAATATAAGAAAGGAGCCTAAAGAAAGCATGGGAAGTATAGTATGAAAAGCGTTTAGGAGATATAATGATGGTTGAAGAAACAAAAAGAGAAGATGGAAAGTTAGTCAATTAGGGTTCATGGTTCCTAGATAAATATGAAAACAAAATTATATAAAAGCATGTAGAAAGGCAACCCTGCCTGACTTGCAGAACAATATTTGCAGAAATTATATAATTTCTTCCAAGTATACCAAGGAGTTCCTAAGGAGGAGCTAATAATATTTGCAGAACAATATCACAGGTTTCTCGTGTTTAGTTGTGCTTTTTAAATGGTTTTTGACACAGAAATATGATGAAAAACTGGAACTTAAGTCAGATATGAAAGAAAGGTTTATTTCAATACTTCTAATAATCCAAATGCAGATTACATTTCTGGTTAATTTTAGATTTAGAGTTATAACAATCAGCAATCTATATAAATATTAACTGACATTTTATACATTGTTTTTTATATATTTGCATCATCTAATACAACTGTTTCATGCTAAATTAAGCAACTCTGAAAAAATAAAAACTTGAGACAAACTGTATGCGGATCTTTCTATAAACTCATTGTCAACAACCAGCTGGTACTTGGATGGATGAAGATAGCGTTTCCATTTAAAAAGTCTGGAAGTGTCTTTTTGGCTGTCTCAATGAATATTTGTAACTTATTTTTCCTTGATATTAGAAGGTTCAACTCTGTCTAACAGCCCTTTGCATTTGGCCAAATGGATTTTGTTCCCAATATCCTCTTTTCTTTTCTGGCAAGTCTATTTTGTATTCAAGTATAAAACTAGCATTGAAGCAATCTGCCACACAGCCTTTGACATAGAACGTTCATATCTTTATTTCAGATTTCCTTAATATATTTATTTTCCAAAAAAAAAAAAAGTTCATAAAAATCTATTTCACCAACATCAGGACAAGTCAGGTGCAAGTGCACAGCTTTGGAGTACATACAAGCATTGAACCTGCAAATACCTAGATCCATAGAATAAGCTAAGAGAACTCCCTCTTTGGCTTCAACTGAACTTTCATGTAGATTTAGTATGAACTATAGAGTAGTGTTAATACAAAATTGAAGACTAGAAGTTACAGCCCTGTAGGCTCCGTATATCACATTATCAACTACAATACTGAACAAACAGTAAAACAATCTCAAAGAAATTCAATGAAAAATAGGTGTTTTTCTTTACCTTGTCTCTGCTTTTTGGCCATGGTAATGGAGCCTTGTAATCCTTAGGCGCTGGGACCAAGCAATTCAAGCCTTTTCCCTTCCCAGGACAATGCCGCTCATACTTCTCCCCTCTCTCCGTCGACTTCAGCTTCTGAATCTCCTCCACGTTATCCAAGCAAGGTATATACTCTCTCATACTCTCTGAGCACAGCTCAAATCTCTTCACCTTAAGCCTAACCTTACCTTCCCCACCGTCTGCTTTTCCCTCATTTCGACTCAGACTCCCCCAACTCTCAATCAACTCCGGATCAAACTCCCCCACCTCAAACTCCTCGGACATCCTCCCGTTCTCGTCCAGAATCCCCGTTCTTTGCACCCTCGCTTGCGGTGGCGGTGGCGGCAATGTCGGCGGCGGCGGAGGAGGAGGAGGAGGAGAATTCGTTGTGGTTAGTGTTTGATTGGGTGTGAGAGAGTCGAGGTTGGAAGCTTTGTGGGCGTTTGGGGAGATGGCAACAGATGGGGACTGAACATCAACTGGGTCTTCTTGGCGGGAGTTGTAGAAGAAGAGTTGGTCGTAGCCATCGGAGTAGTGTCTTCCGAAATAGAACAAAGCGAAGGAGATGAGAGCAAAAGCTGAGAGTTTTATGAAGAATGAAGTCTTAAGGATTTCTGGGTTGTTGATGCCTTTCATGGCTTCATGAAACTATGATCCAATCGAAGAAGAAGAAGAAGAGAATGTGTATATGTTAAGAGGATTTGAATCTATCGGTTCTGCATATTCTTGAAATCTCTTGGTAGTGTGAGAAGAAAACAATTGCAGAACTGGGTTTCGTTTCGTTTCGTTTTCTCCTCGTTAATATGGAAAGCCTCGCAAGTCTCAAAGGTGACGACTGACGAGCAAGAATATTTCGAAAACGAAGAAACGAATCGAACAGAACTGGGCTCATTTGTACCAGTATAAATGTATGGGAGTTGCAACTTGCAAATGAAAGGAATGCAAATACTGGTTCAATTTTGTTTCATGGTAGTGCAATTTTAATTATTTATTTATTTTTTTTTATGCTTCATGCAGCTGAACAACCGGGGTAGCCATACCCCCAACTAGGGGTGCTCAACAAAAACTAAAAAAAAAAAAACCAAAAAAACCAAAAAATCAAACCAAATCAGATTCCAGTCAACCTAAAAGAAAATCTAACGGTTAACTCAATATTTATTTAATATATTATAAATATATATTTATTTATAATATATATTGTAAATATAAAAATCAAGAAAGCAAAGAACCAAATCAGTCAACCAGTTATCTAATTGGGTTTTAATTTGGTTTCAGTTCACAACCCCTTGACTTTGGTGAAAACGCCATATATATATAGAGAGAGATATATATATAGAGAGAGAGATATAGATAGATAGATAGATATATTAAAAGGAAGCAGTCAAGAAATTTTCTCTTTTTTTCTCTTTTTTTTTTGTCATTTTTTAAACAACCAATGACATGCACTTTCCAAATAACCTAAATAATCTATTTTCTTAAAATTTCTCCCAAAATACCTCCCCCACTATCCCCCACTTTCTCCAAAATTTTATTTAATTCCTATTTATCTTCTAAATTATCTCTAATTCCTATTTATCTCCAAAATTATTTCTACTTTGGCAGAAAGTTTCTCTCCCAAATTATCTCTAATTCCTATTTATCCTCTCCCCTACTTTCTATCTATATCTATTTAAAGAAATTTTGGATTAAAAAATTTAAGAATTATTTAAATATTCTAATAAAACTATATAATAACTTTAAAATATTGATTAAAAACACAAAAAATAATTTTATATTTTTACAAAATATATCACGAAATTATGTACTAACAATTTAAATTATGTTTTCTTTTGGATTATCAATTTAAATGTTTTACAAATATTTAATAATATGTAATAGCTTTAAATAAATTAATAAAATTCAAATAACAAAAAATGTAAAATATTTTATAGATTATTTAAATATTTATCATAACTAGATTTTANAATTCAAAAAAAATAATATTTATTAATAATATTTTTAAACTCTTAATCTGTATTTATTATATAATTATATATACTAAAATTATTATTTATTGTATTTCAGTAATTATTTTTTTATGTGATAAATGTATTTTCAATGATTATGTATAAATTTATTTTGTTTTGTTATTTAACAAAAAACTTTCAATAATTATTGGAGATTAAACTACTATTATTGAATTTTTTAAATTTAATTTGTTGTACTTATTGTATTTTTGTTATAACTTATTAATTAATATTTATTAGAGATTAAACTATACTTGAGATTATACTATTTATTTACTAAGTTAATATTTTTTAGTACTTATTGTATTTTTTTTCATTAACAATATATTTTCAATAATTGTGTATTTTCGCTATAAACTATTGTTATTTATCAAAGATGAGACTATTAATTTAGCTGAAATTATGAGTCTTCATGAGTTGGTTCGGTTCGGTCGTAAGCTATTTGGCCAAGCAATTTGACATGGTCAGGTTGGAGAGTTGGCCAACTAAAACCGACTAACCTTTTATGAAAACCAACCCACTCAAGTTGTACCGGTTTGGGTTGATTTATTGGTTTGGTCAGTCAGTCCAAAAGATTAAAATTAAAATTAAATTTAAAAATTACAATGCAATTATTTAAAAATTAGATTTATGATATAAAACATCTTATGTGTGTGTGTGTATATCTATCTATCTATCTATCTATCTATATATATATATATATAAATTCATAAGAAAGGGGGGTATCTCCTTTCACCAAATGGCAATTATTATTAATTATTATTATTTTAACCCAATTTTAATAACTATTGTTATTATAAATATTGTTAATAAATAAATATTTACTTTAATTTTACTTTAAATTAAAATTATAAATATTGTTATTAAATTTAGTAACCCGGTTTTAATAATTACTAATTATTATAGTAATTTAATAAATATATAATTAGTGATTATAATTAATGATTACTGTTATTATAAATATTTTTAATAAATATATATTTACTTTAATTTTAATTTAAATTATAAATGTTGTTAATAAATTTAGTAATTAATGTTATCTTAAAAATAATTGAAAATGTTATTAAAAGTATTGTTATTGATTATTTGGTAAAATATTATAATTACTGACTATTATTGATATATATAAATATTGTTAATTTAATTTAATTTTGGTAATTATTAATTTAATGAATATTGCTAATAAATCCTATTCATAAATTTAATAATTATTGTTATATTAAAAATAACTAAATAATATTATAAAAAATATCATTATTGATTATTTAATAAAATATTATAGTTATTTACTATTGTTGATAAATGTTGTTAATAATTAAATATTTAATAAATAATGTTAACAAAAATAATGTTTGTCTTTTTGCTTATTGAATTTCTTTGGTTTAAAATTTTGGGTTTTGTGCTTTGAAGATTGTTACATAATGTTAGTTAAAAATGTTATTTGCATTTAGCTTAATGAATTGCTTCAAGGTTCTAAATATTGGCACGGGCCGATAAACCCTGTTTCAGTGCTTTTTTTGTGTTTTACTTTTTTTTTTCCAAAATCAGTTCAGAGAGTCCAGTTTAAGGCCTAGCTACCCTCTAAATCAGTGGCTGACCCGATACAATCCCTACCCCTATAGGGGTGTATCGGGAAGCCACCGGCATGATACGTATTGATTGATACATGTCGATACTTTGGACCTTGAATTATTTTGGTTTAAATTTATAGATTTTGTGGTTTGAATATTGTTACATGTTGTAAATTAAAAATATTGCTATTTGATTTTTTTTTTTTTAATTTGATAACTGTTATACCTAAAGTTCTCAAATAATGTAAGAATAACAATTGTCAAATAATTATAAAAATCATCAAATATAAATTAAAAGAAATTACCATCATTAGACATAAATTACCAATATTTATAAAAAATTACTAAAAGTAAATCAAAAGAAATCATCACAAATTAGTAGATTTTAGGATGATAACTACTTGAAATGATCAAATAATATAATCCTAAACACATTAAAATAATTTGCCAAAATTTATCATAAATTAGTAGAAATGTCCAGAAATAGCCACTAAATTCCATTACTATATTTTACCGATAAACTATCATATAATAAATACAATACATTAGTATATATTTACCAAGAAATTAGGATATGATAGAAATTACCAGAAATTAGTAGAACTTAGCCAAAAATAACCACTAATTTCCATAATATATTATATTTACCAAGAATTATCATAAATTATTATATAATAGAAATGACTAGAAATTAGTAGAACGTAGGGAAAAATAATCACTAATTTCCATAAAATATGATAAAATAGATGAAATTAGTATAACTTTGTAAAAATAACCATTAAATTCCAAAAATTAGTAGAACTTAGGATGATAATTACTTCAAATTATCAAATATGAACCTAAATAAATTACAATAGTTTGTCAAAATTGCGTTTCGTTTTCCCATGCATAGCACGGGKCCCCGCTAGTTTGTAAATAAAAACAGAGACCCTAAAGTTTGAAAATGGGCCACTATAAACCCTAAAAATCTATTAGTTAAAAAATAAATTTTATTAACCTTGAAATAAATTACTTCAGGGATTTTATCAAATTAGAATCATTAAAATAACAATAGTTAATTTGATAGTAAATGATTAACAACAATTACGAGTAAATTATTACTTAAGCACTAACCTAATTAGTGTAACTAATAGTAAATTAATTTAAATAGTGTAGCTAATTTCTTTAATTACTTTAATTACTTATTTTAGTTTAATTAATTTACTTATTTAGCTTAATTAGCTTTGATTGTTTAATCACTCTATTTACTTAGCTTAATTTGCTTAATTGGTTTAATCAATTAGTTGACTTAATTTACTTATTTAGTTTAATTGACTTAATTTCTTTAGTTACTCTATTTACTTAACCTAAATTACTTAGTCAATTAGTTATTTCGCTTAATTACATTATTTTAAAATCATCACTGACCCCCACGATCAAACCGTTGACTTAATTCGTTTTTTTTTTTTTGCTACAAATGACTTTTTCAACAAAGTTTATGGTCGAAAATGGTTTTTTTTTATTATTATTTTTTTATTTTAGAGGGTAGAAATTTCCCCATCTTTGCCAACAAGATTCCCTTGGAGAATAGACTCATCACATCTTTGCTCAATGTCCTTATGTCCCCAACAATGGCCATTTTGGTAAATTTATCTTCACGGTAACGTTAATTAATGGACTTGGACTTTAAAAGCATAAGGTAGCTCTCAATTGCAATTTGCAACTGAAAGCTAGAGCCTCCCCTGTAATATTCCCAAAATCAATCGAAAGAATTGATCAAAACCGAACTGAAAATTTGGCTAAACAAATTGGTCCGTTTGGTTTCAGTTCAGTATTTAAAAAAAATTAAAGGTACCGTTTCGATTTTGGTTAATCAAAATAGAAAATCGGCGGTTAATCGAACTGATCGGTATACATATATTTATATATATTATGTATATTTATATATTATATATATTTTATATTATGCATACATTATAAATTAATAAATATGCATTATATATAAATATATACATATATATGTTTATAATATATAATATATTATTTATTATTAAAAATAAAATATTATATATATTTATAGTATTTTATTATATATTTTTCTATAATAAACATTGTAAATAATAAAAAACCAAAAAAAACTAACGAACCGACCAATGGTTAACCAATTGGCTTTGGTTCAATACCCCGATTCGGTTTAAAAAATTAGCCCATGGTTTGGTTAATCGAACCGTGAACACCCTTACCCAAAATAAATAAAAGCTTGCACTCAAACCATTTTGCACTATCATACCTTTGCACAAATGCAAATGAAATTGTATTGCAAACAAACCATGCGTAAGG